CCCCCCCCAACCTGTCCATTGAATTGCTGCCTGAAGGGAAGTCGAACGGAAGGTGTCGTTCGGCCCCTGTGAACTTCTCCTGTTCTGTCGACATGCCTGGGCGTGTATGGACAGCTACGAAGTAATCTTAAGAGATAACCACAGAGCCTCATAGAGCTTTAACGGCTGAGTCGACGGATGAGCAAAGCGTGGACACGCTCGCGGCTGTTCAGCTAGTGCTGAACGTGGTTTAGATGCTTGGGACCAGAGTAAATAAGGGACCTGCCAATTGCACACAAGAGAACCCAAGATTTGCTGCAGTAGAACTATTCAGCTGTGTAAATAACAGACTGTAATGAACTGGCATTCCATCCAGGGCGTCTCCTGCCTCTTCCCCTGTGCTACCTGGGATAGCCTCATACTGGGCGTGGTTATAGGGGACCGATGGACGGAGGCATTCTGGTGTGTTGGTCACCCAAAGGATAACGGGCCCTTTCATGTCTCTGCTCTTATTTATATCCAAAAGGAAAACATTGAAAATTGGCCCAGGTTAGATTGAATAAGTCAGAATATTTTATTTTGATATCAAATAATGACAAAAAAAAACTCAAGTCATTCTATTATGTGGTTTTTGTGATGGCTGTTGGGGAATTTCGCTTTCATTTCCACAGCAGGTTTTTGCCATTGATTCTGGGATTTCACTATGAATCTTCTCAACAACTTGGCGCATCTTTATTTTTGTACCGAGTTTAGTGGCGCTTTCCGTAGATTTCTATGAGAAAATTGGGGGTGAAAATGACCAAGATTTTGGCTAAAGAATGCTGGAAAAATCATTGAATTTCAGTGGATAATTTAATTTTGGGTTTTGAAAGAAATAATGATGAAGCATACTGTGTGTTGGCTATATAGAGTGAGAAATATCCTTTATTTTCATGAAAAAAAATTATGTGACAGTTATGGACAGAGCAAAGTTAAGTTTTATCTGAAGTGTTTGGGCTCGCTTTACACTTTCCTCCAGTCAATGAGCTGACCTGCAGTTACCTACTTGGATGGAAGGATGGATGGATGGATGACGTGGGGTGACTCACAGGGTGTCTCATGGCTTGGTCACTCATCTTGGCACCTCTCAGTGCATCTGCATGGACTTTTAAAGAGCGGCCCCCCCCAAAAACCAGGGCCCCACACCCACATCCAGCGACGTTGGTCTCCTTTCTCCCACAGGGGGACGACATCAGCCTGTCAGAGGGAAGTACTGTGGACCTCAGGCCATCAGAGGAGGAGGAAGAGTGTTCAGAAACGGCTGAAGAGCAAATGGACCCTGACGAATGCTTCCCCGAAGGTAAGCTGAGTAACACGGCGATCTTCTGCTTGTTATTTTGCAAGATCTGTTGGTGATTTTCAACATACTCCAGATTATACACATTTCTGTTGATCCCTGCAGTGTCACTGTGATATTTCTACACTAAGTCCTGACCTATAAACCAATGCATATTCTCATCTGTGCCATTAAAATTTAAAGTGAAATTGCCAGTCAGTCCTTTTTATTATTATGTTATTGTTATGCCCTGAGATGGACTGGTATCCCAGGAAGACACTAGGCCCCCCATGACCCCGTACTGGATAAGGAATCGTAATGGGATGGATGGATTTGGGTGGATGGATGGATGGATGATTATTATTTTGAGCTACTTCTCTCTGTCTATGAGAGGATTAGACCCTTAAAAAGTTTCTTTGTGACTGAAAATGGTGCTAACAAATAATAAAGTATTAATTTGATGGGGACCAATAGAGCAATATATGCTGAATAACTCAAGTCCCAGTCAGTATGAGCTCTTTTAAACATGCTGACCTAATAGAAGAACAATTCTGAGATTTGTGGTGCTGAAAATATGTTATACAGGTGCTGGTCTGAAGGTGTAGTTTTATGAAAGGCTTCTTAATAATATATACTTTAATCAAACTCATAGCACAAAATCGCTGGCAGGCTTATTTAGAGACAATCAGTAGCGCGATGGTTCAGGGTTCATACTGCTAACAAAAGTTGTCAGCTCAGATCGCATGATAAAATCTTTTATTTTGTACACTATATGCTTGCTCTAATATAAATCTGAGCTCTCGAGAGTCAAAGGGACTCAAATGTGCATTTTAGCATTTTGACAGGAGAAAAAAATTAAGGAAAACAGCAACTGAAGAAGAGAATAGACCCTAATCATCATTCAGTAAGTATATTTGGATAAAGCAGCTTGGTGATTACAAGTGGCAAGATTGAGATCTTCTGACTTTTCATTTAAAACTCATTTCAAATTAAGATTACTGGTATAAAACGAGTGCCGAGGGGAGAGAATTTTCTGAAACTGTGAATCGTGCTCATAGCAAACCATTGGACCCGTTCATTAGAACTTCATAAGACTCTTATAAACCATAGTTTCATACTGATGACCTCAAGCCTTCTTCACTATTGCATATAGATTCATGAATGTGGTGTAAAGTTCTCATTTAATAGGCTACTGCAATCATTCTTCCTCCTCAGTCTCCACTCAACACCAACTAGTGGTGGGGAAATTAGGCTTTGATACCAAAAACTTACTGCTTGATTTAACCAAACAGGAAACAATAAGGAGACCAAGTAAAGTACTTTCCTTCCCCCTAAACTCTAGTACTGCAGTGATTAGAAGACTGTGCTTCCCAAGGAAATGAACTGAGAATCATTATCAGTTGATGTGTGCATAAACTCACTGCCAGATGATATATTAATAATGTTAATTGTTGGTAATGGAGGCAGGTGAACTTTGAGTGTTTATAATGTCATTTTATAGAGACACTTTAAGGAAGGAGAGTTTTAAAGGTGTAATTAAGGCTTTCCTGTCCTGTTAATTGGATTAAAGATGACAGGATAGGCTCATTGTTTAAGGACAGGTTTTTAGCCCCAGAGTTCATTATGTATGTGAATCAAGCTTGAGTCAGGCAGGATAATTGCTGTTGTAAAATATTGCTCTAAAATAAAGAAAAAGTCTCAGCCAGGCAACTAAATATAAGATGTAGGTTATCATCAGGACTGCTGAGGGATTAGGAACAAAGAAGCAGGGCAGTGGGTCCAAATGCAGGTGTCCTACATTGTCTGGTAAACGCAGCTGCATTATTTTTGCCGATTATCCCCTGGGCTTTGCAGAGAAACAGCGTGATCACTCTTGCGGGCAGAGCTGTTATTTCCATGTATTCCTCTGTCTGTGCAAATGTTTGTTCTGACCTTTCAATCCATTAACTATTCAATTTATTAGCTATTAAGGAATATCGCTGCACATGCGAGGCATGGTGGAACAGATGGTGTGTGTGCAATACAGCATTAGTTTGTTAATCATACGATTGCGATTTGATTAGGAATTGTATTTATTAAGAGTACATATTGTGATCACATGGGGATTGAAATGGAAAGTTTATGTAAGATACACTATATGGGCATATTTGTGGGGACAGTTTGAGGAAGGACCTTTTCTGTTCCTGCATGACTGTGCCCCAGTGCACAAAGCAAGGTCCATATAGACATGGTTGGGTGAGTTTGGTGTGGAAGAACTTGACTGGCCTGCACAGAGCCCTGACCTCAACCCCATCAAATACCTTTGGGAGGAACTAGAATGGAGATTGCGAGCCAGACCTACATGTCCAACATCAGTGCCTGACCTCACAAATACTCTTCTGGATAAATGGGCAAAAATTCCCAGAGACACACTCCAAGCTTTCTCAGAAGAGTGGCGGCTGTTATAGCTGCAAGGGGGGACCAGCTCCATATTGATGCCTATGGATTTAGACTGGGATACCATAAAAGTTCCTGTAGGTGTAATGGGCAGGTGTCCCTTTACTTTTGTTCATATAGTGTATAACTAAATAATCTGAATTATGCATCTTTTTTAATAGTCAGATTATTTTGTGTATATTTGCTACAGTATATGCTTCCAATGGTAAACAATAAGGCTATCTTGTGCGATTTGCTGTCATGCTGTCATTCTTGGATCTGCAAGCAGCTGAACCTGAATCCGTTAGCACAGAGCATCCATCCTCCATTTGTGTTTGCAGGCTGGGTGAAGCACTTCGGATTCTGTGAAGTGGACACCACGCAGGGCTGCGGCAAGGTCTGGTGGACATTCCGGAAGACCTGCTACCAGATAGTGGAGCACAGCTGGTTTGAGACCTTCATCATCTTCATGATTCTCCTCAGCAGCAGTGCCTTGGTGAGCCTCCATCTTTCATGCATTTCTGTCCTTAATTGCAGGAGCAATTCTAGGATTTTTTTTTAAGGAGGGGGCATAAGAAGGGTCATAATTCATAGAGAGTGGCCATCCTTATCATTAGCCAGTGATATGCTTTGAATCTGTGAGTGAAAAGGGAAGGGGCACTCCAAGGTCCAATCAGCTTTCAGCCTGTGACCCCAGCCCCCCACTTCAGTGTCTGTGGTCAGTCCCTGCCCACCCAAAATGCCAGTTATGAAGCAGAGGCGTCCAGATGGCCATGTGAAACGGCCCAGATCCGCATGTGTGATGCTTTCTCATCTCTGTCATTATTTCTGATAATCACTCCAATGATTGATTTATTTAAAGCTTGTTACATTTCTTTTCAGTCTTATATTCCGTAAAACGACTGCCTCATTATTACTGCTCGTTTTGGGAAATCAAATATACAAATACTGTTAAATGCTAATTGCAGTCATTCGGCTAACAAAATACAGGACAGGCGATTAGACAATTAGTAAAGTAATCGTTGCATAAAAGCAACGGGAAAGCATGGACAATTATGTGTTTTAAGTGTAGCGTTTTAAACACCTCGTGGTTAAGTTGTCTCCCTTCTCCCAGCTGTGTTTGCTTAGATTGGAACCAGTTAGACTGAAATGTTCCTGCTTAACAAAAGACGTTGACGTTAATAGCTGTAATGATGAAGCTTTATTTGTTCCTGGGGCCCTAGATTATCATTTTACTACAACCTTTACCAGCTTGAGAACAAACATAAGGACAAAAAAGTGTCACGTCATTACAGAATGTGTGAGGGCTTCTCCACTAAAGCATGCAACATACAATAAACACACGATTACAGCTGAAGCATACAATAAACACACGGTTACAGCTGAAACATACAATAAGCACATAAAGCCTTTTAGACACAAAATGCTTTTGATACAGGAATACTCTACAGCAATATCTCTCAACCCAGTTCAATCTCAACCTAGTCCATGTTTTTGCTCCCTCCCTGCCCCCTGCCAGACAGTCCACATTTTTGCTCCTTCCAAAAGCGTGGATCATCGGAGGTTTCTGAGGACTTATTTGAGAAGCACTACTCTAGAGTGGAGCTCCATACACAGACCACATTTAATTTTAGCTACAGCAGTGCCTCATAGGTTAACATTGCAGCCTCACACTTATAGTGCTGTGGGTTCAAACCACGCCCCCTACGTGTGCAGAGGTTGCATTTTCTCCTTGTGTTTTTGTGGTAGATTGACTGACATCTGTTCCTCATGTCTTCTTCCTGAGTCGAGCTCTTGCATAAGGGAGGATGGATATACTGTATATAAAAGTAACCAGTATGACATGGGCTCTAGTCCATGTGTGGTCAATACACAAAAATACATCCACCCATCCATCCATGCAGCCATCATAAACACTCCAGTACTGGGTCACAGTGAACTTGTTACCTGTCCCAGGAACACAGAGCACAAAGCAGGGGGCACCCGGGATGGGATGCCAGGTCGTCACTGGGCACACTCTCTCACATATAAAATCACTCATCATGGAAAATTTACCATCTTTATTTAATCAAAATCCAAAAAATACACGCTACTTTTTCTTTTACATCTAGCCTCAACCATTTAAGAGCACAAATAAGTTGAAAAACACAATAATGCTGTAGTGAATAACCTGTTTCTGTCTCTTTGTACTGGCAGGCATTTGAGGACATTTATATAGAGCAACGGAAAGTAATAAAGGTCATCTTGGAGTATGCAGACAAGGTCTTCACTTACATTTTCATCGTGGAGATGATCCTCAAATGGATGGCCTACGGCTTTAAGACATACTTCACCAACTACTGGTGCTGGCTAGATTTCTTAATCGTGGATGTAAGTGTAATATTTTATATATTCTACATCATGTTTAACATTTTGCTGCCTTGTATTATTTTGCACTTTTGCTATATTATATATAATATCTAAGTATAAATATGTGTAGTTAAAATTCATATATTATTAGCGAATATATGAAACCGTTTAGGAACTGCTTCATAGCAAAAGTATGATATTATAATAGCATGATGTTTATATACACATTTTCACATAATGCATAAATGGATATCTGAAACTGATAATCGGCATTCACTATCAATCGATTGGACTGTTATTTTATTAGAAGCAAAGTAAAAATGATTTAATTATTGATTGAATGAATAACAGTTATTTTACTGTTTTTTACTGTTTTGATGCAATGTTTTTTTTACTTGTTTATCGGACACCTGATGCAAATTAACAAAAATTGTTGTAATGTGACTCTGTTACAATCCAGTTTTAACATCTCTGTTTCTTTTGAGGTTATATTGTCACTGATCTAAATGATTGACTTTTTGGGGCATGATTTTTTTCATGAGGCCTAAACGGGTTTATTGACCAGGCCAATTGACAGGAAAAATCCTGCAATCTCATAAAAACATAAGACCAAAACCCATTCAAGTTAAGTCGATGCAACAAAGATAACCGCATGTTTACACGGTTAAATGATGTTCTGCATGCGCTGTCCAGTGCTGTGCAGTGATTCTCCTTAGACTTCCTTTGGACTTCACATTCCCAAATCAAGAAGAACTGTACTGTTTTACAAAGTTTAATGTTTATGGAAATGGAAGGGAATTAAAAAAAAATAAAAAAATTCTTCAGACAACACTTTTAGTTAATAGTACCTGTAGATCACCATACAATACCCTCACTTCCAATTGTTATGCAACTGTTTACAGTATAGGGCATCATAAACTTAAAGATGGAAGTTTACTGTAATGCTTCTAACTGTATCAGTAAGCAGTTCTGCAGCCCGAAAGTGAATTTGTGATTAAATCACAATGAATATCACAAAACTCGGTTGCTGACAACAGCTTGTCATATTCCACACAATTAAACAGGAGTGCGATCCAAAAGTATTTTTCAAGACAAAGACATTTAATTTGGCACATTATGAGTGAGAACCAGTGACTCCGATTTCTGTTCGGTCATGAAACCGTCAGATACACTTAGATTGTTGTTTTGCTGAAAGATTAGCACATGTTATGAAATTAGCATATAACATACGAACTGAGTATGAGCTTGGGAATGTGATCTCAGCAGAAAACCCTGTCAAAATGTATAGTGAGATCTCCAGATTTGTTTACACGAAATGCTCATGTCTGACAGCTTTGGCAGCTTTGCATGATGTCCCAAAATTCAGCCAATAAAACACCTTCGGCTGGGAAATGCCACAGATTGCGAAGAATCTCCCATCAGCAGCTGACACAGGGGGAGGGGTGGCTGGGTCTCCCCCATGCTCATGGAAATGGACTTTCCTATTTCCTCACAAGAAATAGGGTAAACGTATGTGAGAAATAGGTAGATGATAGCTGAACTACTCAAAAGCATCCAGACGCTGAAATAAGTCCACTTGCCCCAACAGCTTCAGACACCATTAAGACCATGAATTATCAGTGATGCAGAAAAGAACTAACTTGGTCTGTTTAGCACTGAGATTTAAAGCCAGTGCTGTCCATACTGAGATTTCTTACCGATCACTCACCTTCTTGACAAATTATATCCCGGGTGTTATTCAGCATAACATCCACACCGTCCCCCCCTTTGTCTCAACAAATGGAAAGCTCTCTGTGTTACTGGTGGGGGGCATTTAACACTTGCCAATTGTGTGAGCTGACAAACATTAGAGTGAATAACCTCTGGTTGCTGTGGAGACTGATTTAATGGTGTAAAATATAATTTAATTCATACAGATGTCACTGGTGAGCCTCTTGGCAAGTGCTGTCAATTTTGACCAAATTGGCACCATGAGAGTTCTCAGGACGCTGAGGGCTCTGCGTCCTCTCCGAGCTGTGTCCCGATTTGCTGGCATGAGGGTAAGGCCAATTCTGATCCACCTGCCATTGGTCTTCAGCCTCAACACATATATCTGATTGGCTGACTTTGTTTCCTTTAACAGGCCTTTAATCATCCTTCCTTCAGCAGGCCCCGCCTACATCCAGCTACTTCCATTATTATTTTGAAGGTCTTCTTCCAGATTCACTGCAATAATGTACTGTTTTTTTTCAACAGGAGCTACTAACTGCGCCATGAATTTTGTCATCCGTCACAGTGTTTTCTATTGACTTTGAACACATGTCCAGGTCAACCAGAAGAACATTTGTTGAATCTTTGAAATCAATTAACCATTTAACCTCTGACCTACCCCGAGTCGAACAACCATATATATATATATATATATATATATATATATATATATATATATATTCACTCTCTCTCTTAACAGGAAATATTTTGATCAAGCAGGTTCTGGAGTCTCCCTAATGGTGTGGATTCTGCGTTTATGTCTCCATATAGGTTTCTTTAATAAGCCTTATAGCTAATGCACTTGGGTACTCGGACTTCGCTGCCATCAAAACACTTAGGACCCTCAGAGCTCTCAGGCCGCTAAGAGCCTTGTCCAGGTTCGAAGGCATGCGGGTAAGACCTCCTCTTCATTCAGTCCCTGTCTCCCTGTCCTGTTTTCCAGCTGTGTTCACTTATTCTCTTCATTTCTCCGTAGTTGTTATTTGTATGACATTATGAAACAGGCATGTAGCCACATAGTAAAATGATGGATTTGAACCCCCCTGAAATTTGGTTTCCACCAATAAGGACCATAAACAGTTACTCAAATCATGAATTTTGAAACACCCCCCGGTTCAGTTAATAAAGGGGGACTCCCCCTGATTGGGCGAGCCTAAATGCCCCTCCCCCTCCAAAAATTATTTAAATATATTTATGGGCATGGACCATGTAATGTATTACATTTTTATATATCAAACAAAGTATGGAACCAATGTGTAAAATAGAGAATTAAGAAATGCTATTGCATTTTGGGAAATAATGAAATTATTCTGCCAAACTTTGCTTCTTCATGTTACAGTATCCATTTTGAATATTATTTGTGACATAGATATACTATTTACTGTTATTGTTTACTACTGATGATTAAAATGCAAGTGCTGATAAGTACCCATAATGTTAATTCATCTTACAAGCTGACCTGATATATTGTAGCCACTCAGTGACATTTATGTAGTGACTGTTGTCCCTTCCAGTCAGTATTACATTTCTTGTTTCACAGCATGCATTTCACTGTGTGATTTTGTGGCTGTTGTTACAATGTTAATAGATTTCTTTGTAGGGAAAAGGGCAATGTCCCTGAAAGCATTCCTCTGCGTTTTTGTGGAAAAAAGAACAGCAGTATTATTTACTCCTTATGCATGGACTTCAGGGCTGATTCCCCTTTAACAGCAAAGCAGCTGTGTACCTTCAGCTCGGAGCAAGACTCATTAACACTTTTTGTTGTACCATTGAGTATTAAAAATGTAGCCTGTCTTTCATTGTGCTTCACATTCTATGTGATTTTCATTGTTATTTAGTTCATTAAATAAATTCTCTTAATAGTTAATTCTGGTCTGTAATATATATGAATGTATGTATAGATGTAGATATTGGCTTGGCTTCGCCAAACTGAAGGATATCTTATAAAATAAAAACATTTAATTAAATACAAAGCTAATATTTGTTAATGGTTGTTCATAATAAAGGTCTCTGGCCTATTAAGAGGAAACCCCAGGTGTTAGAGATGCATCAAGAGGTCCCCGTGTGATCAGGAACATCTTTGTGTTCTGACCAACACACACTGAACTGAATCTTCTAATCTATAGTGACACTGCTCCTCAGCACTGTTAATAAGCTGCATAGTCTTAGACTCTTTTCTGAGAGTAGCTTGTTATGCTAATACGCAAATCACTATGGCGACCTCTTTGCACAGCCACCTGGTGTACCTTTTAAGTGGATAATTGAAAATATAATTTTTTAATGACCCTTGTCGTGATGATGTTTTAAGACTTAAGAGGAATGCGAGAGCAGGTGTGATGCAAGCAAATCTGACTCATGTGTCTTGTCTTCCTGATCCAAGGTGGTCGTGAACGCTCTGTTAGGCGCCATCCCCTCCATCATGAACGTGTTGCTGGTCTGTCTGATCTTCTGGTTGATCTTCAGCATCATGGGGGTGAACCTCTTTGCAGGCAAATTCGGCCGGTGCGTCAACAGAGATGGGGAAATATACAACATTTCAGTGGTCAACAATAAGTCAGACTGTCTGGCGATGAATGACACACAGTACTACTGGACTAAGGTGAAGGTCAACTTTGACAATGTCGGTGCTGGATACCTTGCCCTCCTGCAAGTGGTGAGTTTACCTTTCTCAAAAAAAAAATCAATGAACAAGTCAGAGGGACTATATTTTTAGCTGTGACGGCCCCATTACATCAAATTTGCGCTCTCCAAGAGTGCCAGTACTCATTCTTCAGTTTAACTTAGCGACCATGGTAGCCTAGCAACAAGTCACTTAGCTCCGTTCTATCACCTTCTTCTGATTTCACTCGATACAAACCTTTCATTTGCATCTAGAAATAGCCTGTGCCGAGTCATTCACAAAAGCCTGTAATTACCAGTAACCAAGGCAGAAGGGCAACTGTGGTGATTTCTGCTGACAAGCAGTCAGTCATTTTGAAGTAATCCTCAATTTCCAATCACTATTCCCCCATTCACTATAAAAATACTTTATCTGGAGGAAGCTTACATTACTTGTCCCTACATGTTTCTGGCCAGCTATGATATTGTACTTTTTCTCATTCATCCATTCATTAAATCTGGCATTCTTAGAGGATTAACACTACAAAGACGACCGTAACAATGATACAATATAATGGTTGTAATATTAATGCGATACTGGCCCTAATTAATTTTTTTCTGCCCTTTTTTGATAAAAAAAAAGTTTTATGACACATCATCCTAACTTATGATCAGTCTTATTTATTCATCTATTGGTAATTAGTGGAATACAAAAGAAAACAGCTTTTTCTCGTTTTAAGGCCACTTTCAAAGGATGGATGGATATTATGTATGCAGCTGTGGACTCCCGGGCTGTAAGTATATATCTAGTGTGAAGTTTCATCACTTTGGCAAGGGAATTGAATTTTGAACTTTGACCTCACCCATAACATAAAGATTGTCAATATAAACAGAAAACGGCTGGAAATTACATGATGTGATTTGTGAAATCTTTTATACACATTTTGGAGATGAGTGATTCATACATATACGTTGCATCCATTGTCTGACTAAAATTGGCTATAATAGCACTGTAAAATTATTTGGATTAATGGTGTCCTTCATCTGCCCCGTCCAGGTGGAAGAGCAGCCTGTATATGAAATCAACCTTTATATGTACTTGTATTTTGTTATCTTCATCATTTTTGGATCATTTTTCACCTTGAATCTCTTCATTGGTGTGATCATCGACAATTTCAACCAGCAAAAAAAAAAGATAAGTGCCAAAAGCGTGATTTTCCTTTTAATTGGGCGTGCTCTGTCGTATTACAGATACATAACCGTGTGAAACCTGCCTCAATATGTGCAACCAAGACTAACTGTCGAGTTATTTGTGTACTTTGGAGGACAGGACATCTTCATGACTGAGGAGCAGAAGAAGTACTACAATGCTATGAAGAAGTTAGGGTCCAAGAAACCTCAGAAGCCAATTCCCAGACCAACGGTTTGTACCCGGAGTGATCTCTAGGACGTATCATGAGACTGTAATGCGTGTAACATGTCATTGCTGATGAGTGATAGATTAGGTACTAAATGTGCAGAAACTAGGAAAAGTGGTGCATTCTAATGAACTGATAGAGCTCAGTTATTAATAACTGTACTTTTTTCCAACTATGCAGAACAAGTTGCAAGGATTTTTCTTCGACTTGGTATCCAAGCAAGCCTTTGACATCATAATCATGATGCTTATTAACTTAAACATGCTGACCATGATGGTGGAGATTGACGAACAGCCAGAGGGCCTGACTGAAATTCTCTACAAGATCAACCTGGCCTTTGTTGTAATTTTCACAGCCGAATGCTTCATGAAAATTTTTGCCCTCCGCCACTACTTCTTCACAGTTGGCTGGAACATCTTTGACTTTGTTGTGGTCATCCTCTCCATTGTAGGTGCGTCGATGTATCACCGATGATTCATCAATAGCTAATTTGTGCAACTGAAATTTTCTTGACACCAAAAACGTCAAACTGTTAAATCCTTAACAAATTATTCAGCCATTATTTTACTTTCAAATACACATTATATTCAAGTACACAAGATCTTTATTGGCCATTTGCAGTAGGTGCATTGAAATGCTTAGTTTCACCACCACACTGGGTTAAGGTCATTTTATGCTGAGTCCAATTTTTTCGCCCGAAAAAACTGAACAACATAATTCTGTTGCAAACATGCATGTTTCTGTAAAGGCTTTCATACCAGGTCCGACACATTTACATTGACATGATCTGTCTTTTTGTTTGGAGAGAGCTTGATTTCTGCATGTTTTTGGATGAATGATGAATTGGTTGTCAACACACGTGATCAGTTTATTTGAACGGGAAGAAAACCTCTCATTTGGTTTAATTAAAATACTAGCCTGTAGTGATGGCCGATACCGCTGATCTTCTTTTGGATCCGAGTTCAATTAGATCACTGCAGCTAGTGCTTTTCACCAGTTTGACCTTTTTTTCGGTATGTAAACATTTCTCCGTTGCAAAAAATTCACATCATATTTGGTGTGAAAGTTTTTGGTCCGTCAAATTTGCATCCGAATATTTCACAAATTCATGTTTTTTGCTTGTGTCGTATTTGCTGTGAAAGGGCCTTTACAAAGGGATTAAACAACACAGTGTTAATCAATACAGATGGTTGCAAAAGCAATATAAAACAATGACCAACTGGACATTGTGTAGTTAGTGCCATATCATTGTACCGCATTGTGCATTAAATGATACAATGTTCGAAGTAGCGTGGCACACCATAATCCTATCTTCAGCTGTAGGACATGGCATACACGTTATATGCTATAATGCCAGGATAAGCGTTAGCAATTGTACAAAAGCATCGGAAAGCACTGGGTTACATAATAGAAACACAGCCGACATGATGGATTTTTATTCAAGGATTATTTTATTACTTGTGCTAAATTTTTCACTTGTGAAAGAGTACCAGATGCATTAATTCAAAGCAAATAATTTCAGCCGAAGTTTTTCACCAAACCTCAGTTCAAGTGTTAATGTAATTGTGCGTACAGCAGATCTTTGAGTTTATTAAATGAACTGTTCCTGCAAAGGCATAATCCTGTATTTTGCATAGCTTTTACTCTGTAGATAAGGAGGACATGTTATATAACAGGGAATTTTGTGTGTGTGTTTTTTTTCTTGCAGGTATTGTTCTTGCTGACATTATAGAGAAATACTTTGTGTCGCCAACTCTTTTCAGAGTCATCAGACTCGCGAGAATTGGGCGTGTCCTCCGACTTATACGAGGCGCCAAAGGAATCAGAACCTTACTCTTTGCCTTAATGATGTCCCTGCCGGCCTTGTTCAACATCGGCCTCCTGCTTTTCCTGGTAATGTTTATCTATGCCATCTTCGGTATGTCCAATTTTGCCTATGTCAAGAAACAGGGCGGGATTGACGACATGTTCAACTTCGAGACGTTCGGGAACAGCATGATCTGCCTCTTCCAGATCACAACATCAGCTGGATGGGATGCCCTGCTCAATCCCATCCTGAACAATTCTCCGGAGGAGTGTGATCCCAATATCGTACACTCTGGCACCAATGCCAAAGGGAATTGTGGGAACCCTTCTGTGGGCATTACATTCTTTGTGTCCTACATCATCATATCTTTCCTCATAGTGGTGAACATGTACATAGCCATCATCCTGGAGAACTTCAGCGTGGCTACAGAGGAGAGCACGGAGCCTTTGAGTGAGGACGATTTTGAAATGTTCTACGAAGTATGGGAGAAGTTTGACCCAGAGGCCACGCAGTTCATCGAGTACTCCAAGCTGTCCGACTTTGCTGACACTTTGTTGGAACCGCTGCGCATCTCCAAGCCCAACAAATTAAAACTCATCTCAATGGACCTACCCATGGTCAGTGGGGACAAGATCCACTGCCTGGATATCTTATTCGCTTTAACCAAAAGGGTTTTGGGAGAGTCTGGGGAAATGGATGCTTTGAAGCAGCAGATGGAAGAGAAGTTCATGCTGACCAACCCGTCCAAGCGCTCTTATGAGCCTATAACCACAACGATCCGCCGCAAGCAGGAAGAGCTGTCGGCTGTCGTTATCCAAAGGGCGTACAGGAGGCATCTGGTCCGGCGGCAGATGAAACAGGCCTCTTTCTTTTACCGGCAGATCAACACACCCTCTGCAGAGGAGGCCCCTGAAAAGGAAGGCCTCATAGCCTCCATGATACAGGAACATTATGGAGCTGAGACAGGGATGGTGGAGGCATTGTCTTTGACTTCCTCACCACCATCTTACGACAGTGTGACTAAGGCTCATATAGACCTTTTCCCTTTTCTAATACCAGACTCCAAAAGCACTGACTTGAGTGAAAGCTTCCTTTATCCTGACTTTGACCGTGAGACATATTTGTAGTACTGCTTAGAATTTATTTTATTTTTTTTATTTTTTTTTGGGTTTACTGAATGTAACAGATATCAGACAACACTGACTATATCACGCTTAACCCTTGGTTGCCAGTCACAAGGTATCGCCGAAGAATATATAATTACTTTTTCTTTTTTTAAAAAAAAACCTTCTTTGTTGGAGCACACAAAAGAAAACGTATATCAAAACGACAACCCCAACAACTTTCTCACCTTGCTTACAACAAAACATGCTACAGGATTATTTGCACAGAAGACACCTGCAGGGTCACAATAATTATATCACCAATGTAATAATCCTTTATTAGACAAGGAACTACAATTTATCAATATCAACAAAATATGCCTGACTGTTTGCATTCGTTAAAGGTCTTACTTATATTGGTGTGATTCCTTATGATAACGTACAGCTTTAAGTCATAGAAAAAAACAACAAATGTAACGTAATTCTGATAGCAAAGTATAACGCTTGTATACGTTATCAGTCTTTCATAGGAGTAATATTATATTTGATATTTTTCTATGTAAAAAGAAAATGTCTCTTTTGCAATTGGGATAGTTTGCAATAAAAGTGGAATGTTACCACACTGTAACATATTAAAAAGGGCAGGTTTAAAACTTTTGAAATAAAAATACTGTACTTTTAGCTACATTTTGGCATTGTCGCACTTTGAGTTTACACGTAGTTTTATGCCTAGCATGTTTTAATTTGTTTTATTTTATTTTCATTAGCCATATTCCACTGATAAGCATGTGACAATCATTTTCAATAAAATTTTAAGGACAAAGGTTGACAGGATCCAACCTATTTCCCAATATGTATGCCAGCTAATGAATTTAAGGGAAAAGAAAGACCTGCGTGTTCATATTCTAATGTGCACGAAGGGACAGTTTTATTTATTAATTATTTAAGATGTGTTTTTATATGCTTTGACTGTATTGTGTAACGACAGTGCAATTCAAGACCACTACTTCCAGATGATTATCCTTGAGAAGCCCAGTGAGCAACACTGATTTTAATTAGCAATAATTAGCCAAATTATTTTTTATCTGGAGACATCCAGTCAGGTATGCGACACTCTTGCATTTTTACTGTTTTTACTTTTGCAGAATTTTTTTTCATCCAGTTTTGTAAATTGCCCTCATCAGCTAAGCGCTTGCACGTATGTGAAAAGGGCTTCATTTCATAGCAATAGCTTCAGCGTGTGCCTGGTATCGATTCCTTATCGAGGTGCAACGTTAAGGATGTTATGTCCGTTTCTTTTAAGGGTTAATACGGGTATGGCTGTATTTACAGTCTCGTTTTTTAATGAGATAAATGGTGTCAGGTTTCAAATTATCTGTGTTTAATTGTCCACGTTAACAATTTAAAAGCATGTGTAGCTTAAACTGGTGGTAATACAATGGGTAATACAATGAGATAAAGGGATAAAAATATATTGACATATACAAAATGTACATTTCATAGATTCAGTCCATTATAAATTCCAATTAATGTTCAAGGATTAATGTGTGTTCAATGAGAAAATATTTTAATGAGGTCAGTTTGACATGGTGATCCTAAAGCGTAGAGTTGTCTACAGTTCTACAAAATTTTCAGGCACTTCATTAATTGTGCCATTCAAACCTGTAATTGGTTAACTTATAGGTTGGTGTATATGTTGTATAAATACACATTTAATCTCTGAAATACCACCACAAGATACCTACAGTGTAAAAAGTAATTATAAATTATCTCAATAATGGAAGTTACACATATTCTTTTAGTCAATATAAGAATAATTTACCTTTAAAATGAAGGTATTACAAAAAATTTCATACTTAATCAATGTCCAAACTTGAACATTAAAGTTAATGTTTTCTTTATTTTTAGTTTGTTTCCATAAAGACAAACAAATGAATGTATTTTTAAATATCGGAGTAACTTATCACTTGTAAAAATAAATTGTATATTTGTAAGCTACACACTGCTCATCACGTCTAAATGAATTTTAAACACTGTGCTTGGCATTTGATGTTGACGCGTGATGAAGTAAACAATCTATGGTTACCATGACAACCCATGTTATCATGTGACACACTCAGACCACAGAGCAAAATCTTCTCTTTAGATCAGTATTGCCATCTTAAACACTTTGCATCATGTGTTTTTCTTCCATTTCTTTAACACATAATTGCTGAACCTTAGACACACTCTGAGAGAAAATCAGTCTTGTAGCTACCCATATCCCTGTCCTTTTCAATGTGAAAAGATTATTATTATTATTATTATTATTATTATTATTGTTATTATTATTATTACAGTTTGGAAAATATGGAAGCAATATTAATTTACATATACATTTATGTAATGAATAAAGTTATTATTACGAATAGCAAATCAAGTAAAAACAAAAAGGAACAGGGATTAAACCTATGGTACAATGGTACATAAGCCATTAATGTCATTGGTTTGCTGGGTCTTTGTTTAAATGCTACTTCCCTTGAACGGATGTACAAGACAATGACCAAGACTACATCAGGAGTCTGCTTTGGAAAGAAAACATTTCTGCTGGATGCCAAGCATTAAGAGAAAAAAAGGACTTTCTGATGTATGAAGCTAACTGTGGATCCTTTTTTTGTTGGCATGGCATTAAGTCACTGTCCTCAGCACATTATCTAGCAGAACAGGTGTAAAACATTTATTCATTTCATTTCGAGTGATTTGGGGATCGGTACATTCCACAGTCAGTCTGTACAACAACATAGTTAAAGATACTTGCACGATCTGAATTCTGGACTATCCCATCATACGTAGTAACCAAAAAAAAACAAACATAAAGTTCTGTTTTTTTCATTTGGGTTTGATCAGGTTTGGCTCCAGCTTTGAAGTGCTGGGTGGCCACAGGTTTATCTAAGGAGGCTGGGGGAGGGACTTCTGACAGAGTAGGATCGGATAGGCCAGGTCGACCCCCCCCCCCCCCCCCCCCCCCCCCCCCTCCCCCGGAGCCAGCCCTGATTTCTATCTGGCTAACTGCATGTTGGCATGACCAACATATGTTAAGATACGTGTGTAATACATAGTCATGCTGAGATTCATAGAGCTAATCTGACAGAAAGTCATTTCACACCCCGCACGCTGACATCCCAAAAATGGGTTGTACTTCAGTGATGGAGACTAGAAGCTGGTTTTAATTAAGCCGGTCACTTCTCCTGATTTGACAATACTGCTTACTCTGCACCAGGAGAAGGAAAAAAATGACATCCCATTCAGAAATGGAGGGAAATTGTTAAATCTGCAGATGTCCCTGCAGCATATGCGTGGAGGTTGACTGATCTGCACCCGCATGATGAAACGCCTGTCGTAAAATTGTACCAGGACGAAAATCTGATGCTTGCGTAATGTCATAATGAAAACTCGGTTTCTATAGGCAAAGCAAGAAAATACAGAAAATCAGAACATAAAAATTTGCGATGTGACTATTTGCATTGCAGTTCTGTGTAGGTGGAGTTGCCGGCTGATTCTTGATAAGGATGACAGAGTTTAGCTTAAATTACCATGATGTTAGCTGTTACAGGAAATGACATAAGGGAAATGATCTAATGATTGAGCTCTGAAAGTCTCTGACTTCATTTTGGTATTCTTGAAACTGCCCTTCGATTTGTTTACCAGTGTGAATGGTGGCATTATCATGCTGGAATTGATCATGTTTGCTCCTGGTCCTGTAAAAAGGCTTTGTATTCTTTGACTGTTATACAATCATGAAGGGTAATCAGCAGACCTACTAACTCCCATGTGATGTTTGTCCATCTGCAGCCATGTTCACCAGTAGTAAACATGGACGTCTGGACATAGGAAGGTTTGTGCTCCGTACGGCAGGTTATATATCTTTTTTCCTTGGATACAAATCATTTAAGTTCCCTGCCATAAATTTCAGCTTTGTGAAGCTTACGACTTGCAGATTTATTGCACCTGGGTCACACAGGTGCTGATTCAGTTCTGCAGTAATTCCTGAGTTCATACTTGTGTTGTGTTCATCTTGTTTGCCGGCAAGTTTTAATTTGCAGCTACTCTTTGCAGGTTCTCTACGTTTGTTATATTTTTTTAAACTGTTCCCTGTGGCATGCTACGTAATTAAGTATTTTTTTGACTGATGTACATACACCAACATATCAGAACTCTGTAAGCCACCTCACGCTGATTGGTCAGATTGCCTTCATTTCTGATTCATAATGATAAATAGTATTCAAACTAATATGACTCACTTATGAAGCTGTATTTGTAATTGTCATTTATAGTCCTTTTACATTTTTTTTTTATTTCAATACACCATTTGGTATGTATACCTATATTTTATATATTAGACACTATTATATATTTAATACTATATATTGCATATGATTTTTTTATTCTCCTGTTAGATTGCATGACAAAATGTAAATTATGTAGAGTGAAGCGAATGTTATAAGTGACAGGCTATTATAAAATAATTTAATTTAGGCCGTCAAAAACTTATATGGAGTACAAATGACGATGCTGGTTTCAAAGCATGAGTAGTCTGGTATATAAGATCAAAAACTTGAATAGGGTTTTTTTTTTATATGAATAACATGCATTGATATTAATATATAAATTGTAATTAATTTAATAAAATGTAATTCATTGTCATTGAAGCAAATAATTTGCCAGCCAAATCATAATTTTAATTGCAAATACATATTATTGTATAATTGTTTAACTGAACCTAAGTACTTAGTAAGTGTAGTGTGTGAATCCCTGGTACAGCTTTGGAAGATGGGTATTGTCTGGATAATGTGTTTCAGATGCTGAAGCATGTTTATTCATTACAGAGTCATAAATTAATTCACAGTAACCATAACAGTTGCTGTCATCCCACTATAATCTTCCCTTAACAACTCCCTGAGGAATCTTCCAAGAAGTAACACAGAGTAAATCCTAAGCATCTGCAGGACACTCCAATCACAGTTAATGTCCGTACTCAACCGTTTGCCTCAATTGTCAAAACGCAAGACTTGTGAGAGCTTCTGGATACCCTGATATTCCACAGGACATCTGACATCTGGACAGATCAGACACTTTGGTAGAAACCCAACGCGATGTTTTAGAAGAGGAACCCCGACCTGACCGTTAGACTCATCACTTTGCTGCATCAGGACCAGCTCAGCTGGTGTCATTAACAAAACTGACAATGTGGAATTCAGAAAATTCTAAAGGGTGGCATCACACCATGGAATAAGACAGTGGTCCTAAAGCAGATCGTATCTTTTTTTTCCCCCACAATCTAACATTAATATTCGTTATAATATTCTGTATCATGTAAAAATTACATTTGACTGACCTGATATGATTTAATCTTCCGCATTGTCTGTACTGTGTCACTATGTGTAAAATATGTTTACGCATTCTTTCTTTTGGTGGTTCAGTGACAATGCCAAGGAATGTATCCAGGTGGTGTGTACCTCTCAAGCAGAGGGTTGTACCTTGGGGAAAACTGAACTCAATGTAGCCAGAGCCTCATCGAGGGCTTCCAGAAAAATCCAGATAAGTTGGATGACTTGTCTTCAAAATCACTGTAGTAAGGTGTGTTCTTTTGTATTAAGAGTTAGCCATTTGTAAATATGAAATGATTTTTACACACAAAGATACATTTCCAATTAACTCTCTGGTGGAAAAAAAACAAGGGATAAGCACAGTTGGTCAAAACATTTAATCTAAAAATCACGACAAAACTGCCCTATTGTTTCATAGTGAATTACCTTATAAGGGTAAGGACTTAATATGCTGAAATTCTTTAGCTTTGTCCTGTCTATGTATTTTAGTATTTTAAATTGTGTTTTTCTGTAAGCAGACTCTTTTCTATGGTAATACTTTCCTAAAGTATTGTAAAACAATTTTAACTGTAAGTACATAATTGTTCTTTATGAAATCAGATGACATGAATATGAGCTTGTTGAATTACTTGTATATTTTGAAGGAGGTGTCTGGGTTGGATCTTCACAGGCCTGTCTGTAGCTCTATGTGGGTGGTTCTGCTCCTCCTCAGTATGGGAGGCACTGGTAGTACCATGTGAAAGCAGGATCTTTCACTCCATCTTTCCAGGCTTCCTCTGACTTTCTAACCGCAGTAAAAGCATCCAGGCACAAGCTCTTTGTACATGACCCTCTAACACTTTCATCCTCTTTTCCAGGGGTAAAGAAAATGTAACTTGCCATTCTCTTTGTTTAATGCCAAATTGTTTTTATGATACTTTTATGCTTTTATGATACTTTTATAAGACCAATAGCAGATAACAGAATATCATCACAACACCCCCACCCCAACTCTGCCACCCCCTTGAAATGCTTTCCAGAATGACTTCTGTATTTGATAATAAAGGTCTTGCCCTTGAATTCCTATCAGCATATCTTATTTTCTTATCATTGCAAGTTCTGATACATATTTGCTGATACATATTTGCTGATACATATTTGCTGATACATATTTGCTTATGCACATGCCTGTTTCTCTAAGGAGATGTTTGGCATGTCTGGTCAAGGAATCTCTACCTTAGTAACATTATGTTGGCATGCACACTGTACCGGCAACACCATTTTTTTGTTTTTAAAAAGGGATAATCTGTTATACCTTTTCGTTGTATAATAAATCACACAGGCAAACTTTAATGCCCTTACTATGTACATACAGTACAGCAATTATTACTCAGCTTTAAT